ACTCGCCAGTACTTTTTGTTTACTCTATTTACCTCTTTATTGAGTTTTATTAAATTGCAAGTAGCATCAAATGCATTAATACAAGAAGCTTAATAAAAACTAGAATTTTGGCTTATTGAGATAGTTGTAAGGCAAGTTTCAAGCAGTTTGATGAAGGTTCCCAGTCTACCTCCAGAACTGTTTTGTTTTGTGTTTTGATAATAACCATTCTTATGGTGTGAAGTAGTTATCTCTTGTGGTTTTGATTTGCATTTCCCTAGTGGCTAATGATCTTGAGCACCTTTTCATATGCTTATTAGCTATTTGTGTATCTTCTCTGGATAAAAGTCTATTAAAGATCCTTTGTCCATTTTTAATTTAAAACTTTTAAAAACTGTTGAGTTGCAAGTGTTCTTTATATATCTGCATAATAGATATTTATCAGATAGATGATTCACAAATATTTTCTCCCATATTATGGGTTGTTTTTTCACTTTCTTGATTCTGTCCTTTGATGTACAAAGGTTTTTAATTTTTATGAATCAATTAATCTAGCTTTTTCCTTTGGTGCTCGTACTTTTGGTGTCATATTAAGAAACCTAATCCAGTGTCAAATAACTCTATAAAGATAGTTTTACAGTTTCAGCTCTTACATTTAAATCTGTGATCCATTTTAAGGTAATTTTTGCATCCGCTATAAAGTTGGTGTCAAATTCATTCTTTCTCATGTGAATATCCAGTTGTCCCAGCATCATTTATTGAAAAGACTATTCTTTCCCAATGTATTGCATTATTTTGATATCCTTGTTGAAAATCAATTGACCATAGATGCATGGGTTTAGTTCTGAACTTTTAATTCCATTCCATTGATCTATATTTACTTACATGAGCACCACACTGTCTTGATTACTATGGCTTTGTCATGAGGTTTGAAATGGGGAAGTGTAGTCCTCTGACTTGGTTCTTTTTTCTTAAGTTTATTTTGGCTATTTTGGATCCCTTGCATTTCCATATGAATTATAGGATCAGCTTATCAATTTCTACAAGACAGGCAAATGGAATTTGATAGAGATTATATTGCATCTATAAATCAACCTGGAGAGTATTGCCGTCTTAACAATGTTAGGTCTTTAAATCCAGTAACACAGGATGTCTTTCCATTTACTTAGGTTTTCTTTCATTTCTTTTAATGATGTTTTGTAGTTATAGTATATAACAGGTGCTCCATTTTATTTTTCAAGCTTCCAACATATCTATAGTAGCTCCCCTGAATTTATTTTTTTTCTTTGATTTTTTTCTTTCACAATTTCAATTTCTTCATCTTTTTGCTCCATACTCTGGAAGTATTGAGAAGGTCTTATAGTTTACTAATTCAGTTTTCAGCAGTATCCATTTTTTCTATTAACTGCTTCCATAGTTTTTTCAACTTAAATAGTCATTTACTGTTTAATTTCCAACAACATTCTGGTTTTCAGATTGCTTCATTTTCACAACCTGCTTGTTACTCTTTAAATTTCACTAAGAACATGAGCAAGATTTTTAAAAAGTTTTGTCTTATTTCCTGCATTAACTCCATTTTAGTGGGTGATATTTGCTCTCATTTGGTCCTCTTCCTTCAAATGGTAGATTCTCTTCTTATGATTGGTGATTTTTTTTATCTGCTCATATTTATAAGTGCAGATCTAGGTCATTCAGCATTGGTAACTGGCATCCGATCTGGAATTAGAGAGACCTTTGTTCGGTTCCCCACAGTGTATCTTTCCCTCTGACGAAGATGGTGGTAGGTTGGTTTTCCTTTCCAGTGAATTGGCTTTGAGTGGGAAAGTAGTAGCACCCTTTCATGTAGAAGTTGAATTCTTTTTTTTTTTTTTTTTTTGAGACGGAGTCTCGCTCTGTCACCCAGGCTGGAGTGCAGTGGCACAATTTCGGCTCACTGCAAGCTCCACCTCCCGGGTTCATGCCATTCTCCTGCCTCAGCCTCCCGAGTAGCTGGGACTACAGGCGCCTGCCACCACGCCCGGCTAGTTTTTTATATTTTTAGTAGAGACGGGGTTTCACTGTGTTAGCCAGGATGGTCTCGATCTGACCTTGTGATCCGCCTGCCTTGGCCTCCCAAAGTGCTGGGATTACAGGCATGAGCCACCACACATGGCCAGAAGGTGAATTCTGATGATAATACACGAGTGTACTGAGCCCCTAAGCCTCAGATCTTAAATTGAGAGAAAGGGAAACACAGTGAGGAAGCAAAGAAATCAACTATTTGCAGCTTTGCCCAGGAAAGAACTTTGGGTATTATTACTAGCACATGGAACTCATAGGAAGAGAATAGTCTACTAAGTGTCTAAGGAAATTGTAAGGTCAAATCAGCTATAAACCTGGCCTTTAAAATACCTTACATACAGGCCAGGAGTTGTGGCTTATGCCTATAATCCCAGCACTTAGGGAGGTAGAGACTGGAGGATCGCTTGAGCCCAAAAGTTTGAGACCTGCCTGGGCAATAGTGAGACCCCATTCTCCACAAGAAGGAAAAACAAACAAACAAAAACAATCAATAAACAAAACAAAATCCTTAAGTATGAAAGAACCCTCAGGACTCCAAACTTATACCAGCAGGAAATGTGCTGCGAAAACTGTGAAATCTCTGAAGGGCTTATTTCCCAGTGTGCACTTCAGTTATGGTCACGGAGAATAATGAACAAGGAAGAATATTCCAGAGTGTGGAGCCAAGGACCACAGAAACAAATGCAAAATGGTGTTCATCCTTGAGAGCAGAACCAGGAGATAATCATAGAACTTCCTCCACTGCCAAGGCAAAGGATCGTCACACTAACTACCCAGGATTCTGCCATTTATGTATGGACTCTGCTGGGAGTCTCATATTTTTCACTAAACTTAGGGTTTTATAGAAACACTTGGGAATCACTGTTATGGGAGAGAGTGGAGGGATGCACAGGCAGTGATCACAGTCAACACTGAATAGTGTTCCAGGCTGGGCGCGGTGGCTCACACCTGTAATCCCAGCACTTTTTGGGAGGCCGAGGTAGGCAGATCACCAGAGGTCAGGAGTTTGAGACCAGCCTGCCCAACATGGTGAAACCCTGTCTCTACTAAAAATACAAAAAATTCGCCGGGCATGGTGGTATACACCTGTAGTCCCAGCTACTTGGGAGGCTGAGGCAGGAGAATTGCTTGAACCTGGGAGGCAGAGGTTGCAGTGAGCCAAGTTCATGCCACTGCACTCTAGCCTGGGTGACAAGAGCGAAACTCTGTCTCAAAAAAAAAAAAAAAAAAAGTGTTTCAGGTACTAATGCATCATCTTCTTTTTTTTTTTTTTTTTTTTTTTTTTTTTTTGAGATGTAGTCTCAGTCTGTCACCAGGCTGGAGTGCAGTGGTGTGATCTTGGTTCACTGCAACCTCTGCCTCCCGGGTTCAAGCGATTCTTCTGCCTCAGCCTCCCAAGTAGCTGGGACTACAGATGTGCACCACCATGCCTGGCTAATTTTTGTATTTTTAGTAGAGTCCGGGTTTCACCATGTTGGTCAGGATGGTTTCCATCTCTTGACCTCATGATCCGCCCGCCTGGGCCTCCCAAAGTGCTGTGATTACAGGCGTGACCCACTACACCTTGCCTAATGCACCATCTGAATCCACATAGCCCCTCCCTGAATTCTATACTATTATGATGGAGTCAAGTAGCTTGGTCAGGTTTACATAATAGGTAAGTCTTAGAGCCAGGATTCAAAACTATGGGACCTGTCTTTAGAATATTCACTCTGAACCCTATCATCTTTTATAATTATGGAGGTCTACTGGGCATGATGAGGGACATAGAAATCCCAAAGGGAAGGCAAGGCATATAAACGAATTCAGGACAAAGAAGCGTGAAATGTTTTTGTTTTTGTGTTTTTTTTGGGACAGAATTTTATTCTTGTTGCCCAGGCTGGAGTGCAATGGCGCAATCTTGGCTTGCTCCAAGCTCCACCTCCAGGACCCAAGCGATTCTCCCGCCTCAGCCTCCCAAGTAGCTGCGATTACAGGTGTGCACCACCAACACCTAGCTAATTTTGCATTTTTAGTAGAGATGGGGTTTCACCATGTTGGTCAGGCTGGTCTCAAACTCCTGACCTCAAGTGTTCCACCTGCCTCGGCCTCCAAAGGGCTGGGGTTACAGGTGTGAGCCACTGCACCTGGCTGGGAGTTTGTTGTCTAATGAAGATGACATTGAACTCTCTTCAATATACCAGGATATATAGATTACTCTCACTTTTACCTTTATTAGGGACTTGCCTTGTTTACTGATAAATCACCACCACTACTGGTATATTATGCCATCTAACTCACAGTAGGTGCTCAATATCTGTTGAATGGATGAAGAATGAATACCAAAGTCCTGTAATATTAGACTAAGGTCCTTTAGTGACTGCCAGATTTGCTTTCACATTTTTAGGGTCTAGTGTACTTGGCGCTCAACAAATGGCCCTTGAACTAAACAGAGAGAAAACTGCACTGGTGGTTTTACTTTAAAGCTGCTCATCTTTCAGTTTCCTTATCTTTAAATTGGAAGGTGTTCTGCTTCTGCCCAACCCCCACACACTCTACAGACCTAGGCCTTGTGATGGTTGAATTTTCCAAAAGATTCTCACCTGCTTTAACTTCCTATGAGCTTAGTTTATATTCACCAGGTGAACTTGCAATTTCAGGTTTCTACAGTACTGTCTTTTCCACGTGTATGGCCAGTTCTCGTGACGAGTTTACTAAGTGACTTTGGATTCTTTTTAACTATTGCTAATTATCTGCACCTTTCTGTTGTAGTTATTTTAAAGCCCGCCTGCGCGCGCGCGCGCGCGCACACACACACACACACACACAGTGCTATTGCTAATTATCTGCACCTTTCTGTTGTAGTTATTTTAAAGCCCGCGCACGCGCGCACACACACACACTCACTCACACTTGAGTCAGGGTCTCTCTCACTGTCACCCAGGCTAAAAGCGCTGGGAATACAGACATGAGCCACCGCGTGGGGCCAAAAACATACGGATTTTATTTACTAAACCTGTATTGGGTGCATGACCCAGAATTGTGAGAGTACAGCAATGACTGAGAAAGCCATGTTTCCCACCCTTGTGGCACTTAACAATGTTTCTATGTGTTTTTAAAGGCCCAACAACAGGGATTCAATTGTAAATTAAAAATATTTCAGCTCCTTAACCCCATAAGGTACAAAACATGATTGAAAAAAAAAGACAGCTATGTCTTCCGACTGGAGGAGGGAAAGGACAAACCTCGAACAAATCATTTATCTTGTTAGTCACAGCTTAGCGATGCCTTGAGTTATTTTCTGGTGATTCCAAATTTCCAGTCCATTCCCTCTGCATAGATCAAAAGTGACAGGAAAGAAAAAAATGTATTTCGGATACGGCAAAAAAGAAAAATGCAGGACAAGCAAACAAAAAGTACTGGGACATCGTATGAGAACTACTTTAATTGACAATGTCTTTAAATGGTACTTAACACTTGACAGTGATTCCAACCCACCCAGGCCTGGGCACCACGGCTGCCTCCCCACTCCCACGCACACGGGGAGCTTCCCGGGCTGTACTGCACCAAAGGCACTCAAAATACATCAGCCTTTCCTTACCTAGATTCTTCCACCACATCTAGCATGGAGCTGCTGCTTCCAGAGGTGTAGTCGCCTATCTGTGGCAACAATTAATTTAAAAAATGGAGCTGCATCTTTAATAACAAAAGTCGCCAGCTGTGAAAAGTGGAGCGAAATCTCTCTACCGGGACGTAGCATCTCTCGAGAACATTTTCCCCGTAGTCAAGGCCCAGGGCCAGCTGGACGCCGCTGCCCTGGGGTGGAGCCTACCCCGTGGTCCCGGGAGGCTCCCGACGAGCAGGGGCCCGGGGCCGCAGGGCGTGCTACAGGAGGTGCAAAAGTCGGCTTGGGCCAGAGCTCCCGGGTTTGTTTGGTTTTGTCCGCTCCCTGCCCCCACCCTACCCGCTTTATGCAAAAGGCCAAGGGTTTCCGAGCCACCACTGCCCAGGCCGAGTTCACGCTTGGGGCTCTTCAGCCGCCGTCCAGTGAACAGAGAAAGCAATCGCGCAGAGGCGAGAGCACGCTGAATGAACGCGGGCTCCGGGGGCAATAATTTCCTCCTGACTTCGCGCGTCAGCACACTGGGGTGCAGCCCTCTTTCACAGAAGACCCCCCCACCCCGCACAACCCCCTGTACACTCCCGCCTCCGCACTCCACAGGGACCGCACGTTCGTCAGTGCGGCGGGGTTTGGGAATGGAGGCGTGAGGACCGCGCACCGAGGGCTCCACAACCTGGGCGGGGGGCGTCGTTGGAGGGGGTGGGGAAGAAATGCGCGCCCACCACTCTCACAGAGGGCGAGGGACCCCCAAAAGCCACTCGCGGGCGCCGAGGCAGCGGGAAGGCGAGAGGCCGGGCGGGGGGAGGGGGCACGGGGGTCCCAGCCGCGGAGGCCAGGGCCGGCGGGAGGGGCAGCACCTGAGGAATCCGCCTCCGGCTGCGGCGGCCGCCGCCTCGCTCCGCCCCGGGGAACTGAGCGCGCGGACCGCGCGCCTGCCAGAGAGACGCCAGCCGCCGGCGGCGCTAGCACCTCGGAGGCGGGCGACCGGAGCAGCGGAGCGCAGCGCGGCGCAGGGAACGGCACTGGGGGTGGGGAGACCAGTCCGGCCGAGCCGAGGGCCACCCCCGGTCCTCTGCCCTCGCGCCCCGCCAGGGCCAGGTGAGCGGCCGCGGGGACTCCGGGGCGGGGGCGGGGGGTGAGAGGTCGCGAACCGGGCGCGGGAGCTCGCCTGTGACCGGCAGGAGCTGCCCTTTGGCGGGCTGGACGCCCTGGCCGCGCGGGGAAGCGCCGCGGCGGACTTTTCCGGAGGGATGGGAAGCGCAGCGGGGGTGTGAGCGGAGCGCGTGCGGGTGGCGAGGGAGCGCCAGTGCCAGCCTGGGGGCCGCGCCCGCCCTCCCTGCCGCCTCGCGTCGTCCACCGAAGGGACCCGGCCGTGCTGTCCGCGCCCAGAGGCCGAAGGCCTGTCACCGGGCTCTACTCGCTGCCTTTGTGGCGGGAGCGAGGCGGCCCGGGGGTGGGACGAGGGAGCTGCGGCGCGCCGAGCAGCGCGGGGGGCCCGGGGCAGAGGCGGCGAGGGGGCGCCCGGTCCGTCTCCCCGAGCCCAGGGGCAGTGAGGGGGTGCCGGGCAGGCGGGCGGGCGACAGGTAGGGCGCCGCGGAGGTGGCGGGGAGAGGATGGATGGCGCTCAGCCTGGGAAAGTTGAGAGCGTCCAGAGGTGGCTGGGCGCTCGCTCGGTGTCTGTGGGTTTTTTTCCTCCACACCAAATGTCACTTCGTCACAAGCGGGCGCGCGTGTCTTCCGGCCAGCGTGTCCATTTTTCTGTGCATGGCTGAGGACCACTCTTATTCCGAATGAGACACAAAGAGTTGTGTTGACAGCTGACCCTGACACAAGCAGACAGCGAGTGAGGTGCGCCCTGGCCGGGGAGGGTGAGGGAGACTCGTTAAAGGAAATCCATTCCCGCCGTCCCTCTTCCCAGATCCATTAAAAGGAAATTACATGTGGAGATTCAGTGCGTGGGGTTTCTCAGTTACGTGAGTCCAAGGAACGTCCCCGAACGCGACTCATCTGCCCGGAACGGCCGCTACCTCTAACCGAGGCTGCGGGTCCTGGAGAAACTCCTCAGTCTTGCCCCTTTCTCTGGTGAACGTGACGGTTCCAAGGTCCTTATCCTCCCCACGCGCCCCTCTGGCCCTGGCTGAGAAGATAGAAACCACATTTTAATTTTTGCTTTTCATACCGTAAGGGTTTTTTTTTTTTTGGTCCCCCGCCCTCCCCGTCCCGCCTCGAGGCGGGAATCCCTGCTTAACTCACATTTTTAAACCTAGCCATTTAAATACAGGGAAGAGCTTTCCCACAGAAGGTTTTTGATCTCAATCCCCCTTAATAAAACCTCTCATTCATCTATATGTTTTTAGACTTTAAATCCTGGAATTCTGCTTTTGAGTGTTGTGACTGTGGTGTTTCTTTGCTGAAATTTTCTGGGAGGTTTTATGAATGATACTGAAAAATTAAAAGAAAAAAATTAGTTGAGTGTTTAGTAATACAATTACATGCATATAGGTATGTATTTCAAGAGGAAAATGTTTAATGAATGAATACTGAAAAGTAATATAAGTAGGGTAAAACATTTCAAACAACAGTGAAGAGTATACAGTGTAAATTAAGCCCTCTCTCCTCCCCTCCATACAAGCCTTCATCTTTCTCAGAGGCAGCCACTGTTGCACGTTTTTTGTATATCTTTCCGTAAGTCTATTAAAATGGAATTACATTATAGATTGATATATACAAGAGATTGAATATAAGACTGAACTATATATTCGTGGTGATGACTATTAACTTGATACCCACGCATGATGACATGAAATTATTTAGCCAAATGTGGACAATTATTACCTTGAATATCAATTAGAGGACTAAAAATCTTAGAACAGTATGCAGTGGAAAGCAAAACTATTAAACTAGTATCTTCTCCCGCACACACACCAGTTTCCCCACACTGGTTTTTGCAATCTTTGTTGAATTTTTTCTCCATTTTGGAATTCTTTATGAAGTGGAGAATGAGAACTGTAGTAGTTTATTTTGTCTACTGCAGTGTGTATCTGAAAACACTGAAAGGACGTGTATATACTCCCATTGACATGACATAATAGAAAGATGTTAGTGGTAAAGGATCAATACGAAGGCCAAGTTTAAGATGTTTGGTTGCATCTCTTAATTCTGGGCCTGGATTTGCCACAAACCCGCCACACAACGTAACTTTTTTTGGAGATACGTTGTTTCCCACTCAAAGGAATTGAACTAATTGATTTTTAAGGGTCCTTCGAGCTCCAGAGTTCTATGATTAAAATAGTTGTCCCAAAACTGGCTAAAGATAACCCTTGGACTGTGGATGTTAGAGAGTGGGGTGACAAAAAACATTCCTGAATGGTGGATTCATAAAGAGGAAGTTAGAGATGTTTAAACTATATCCCTGCTCTTATGAGTTTGATGTCATAGGAGAACAGCTACTCTCCTTACCCACAGAATGTGTGTTTACGTTGCTGATAGAGGCCAAACACCGGGCTGAGGGCCTCTGCATGTCACCTTGTGTGGCTAAGGAGAGTGAATTCCCACAGCTCAGGGTGCCATTTTTAGGAAAATTACTCTTACCAAACTCTTCTTTTTGGTCAAGTGGAAGTAAACTTTACCTACTTGAAAGAGACTTGACATAATTAATACTTTTCTGAAGTGTTTAGATTATGAACATCCCTTATAGCTAAGATATTTTAGTTACTTGATAAATATTCACTTAGGGAGTATGTTCTTATTAGGAAACTTCTAATTTGTAAAGTACCTGCAGCCTTTGGGCTAATGATGGGGACAGGAGTTGAGGAGTGATTGTAAAGTTGTGAAAGTAAAAATAATTAGCTAATTTTAGTCACTATGTATGGTCTAAATTAAGGGATTTCAAAGGTACCCTGTAAGCGGTGATTGCAAAAAGTGTTGTTGTTGGCCGGGCGCGGTGGCTCAAGCCTGTAATCCCAGCACTTTGGGAGGCCGAGACGGGCGGATCACGAGGTCAGGAGATCGAGACCATCCTGGCTAACACGGTGAAACCCCTTCTCTACTAAAAAAAATACAAAAAAACTAGCCGGGCAAGGTGGCGGGCTCCTGTAGTCCCAGCTACTGAGGAGGCTGAGGCAGGAGAATGGCGTAAACCTGGGAGGCGGAGCTTGCAGTGAGCTGAGATCCGGCCACTGCACTCCAGCCTGGGCGACAGAGCAAGACTCCGTCTCAAAAAAAAAAAAAAAAAAAAAAAAGTGTTGTTGTTAAGATAGAGACCTCAAACTGAAAGCTAAAACTTTCTAAAAGCACCGCCGATGAAACATATGTAATTATTTTGAATAAGTCTAATATAAACGAATTATAAATTCTCTTTAGGAGTTGTTTGGGATCCTAAGCATAAGAACTAGAAGAATATATTTGTAAGGGTACTTAGAGTAATATTGATGAACAAAGCTGACAGAAACAAAAGAAAATTCAATACCAGTAGTGAAATTCCTCAAAAAGGTAATAGTTTTTTTTCCAGCGCCCTTTCCAATCTTGCCATATGAATGAATATTTTTACAAATGTTTTATATTGCAGATAATTTTCACCCTGATTTTTTATAAACATTTTTTCGATAGCTTCCCGTTATTTATAATAATTTTATAAAAGTTTATGCAATGGACGTTCATTATTAACTTAAACCTTTTTATTTTTGATTTTCCAGCATAAAAAACATAATGCCTATTATTATTGTTATTGTTATTATTATTTTTTTTTGAGACGGAGTCTTGCTTTGTCACCCAGACTGGAGTGCAGTGGCGCAATCTCCACTCGCTGCGAGCTCCACCACCTGGGTTCACGCCATTCTTCTGCCTCAGCCTCCTGAGCAGCTGTGACTACAGGCACCCACCACCACGCCCGGCTAATTTTTTGTATTTTTAATAGAGATGGGGTTTCACTGTGTTAGCCAGGATGGTCTGGATCTCCTGACCTAGTGATCTGCCAGCCTCAGCCTCCCAAAGTGCTGGGATTACAGGCATGAGCTACCATGCCCCGCCTATAATGCCTATTCTTATACAAGTAACTTTATTTCTTTTCTTCTTTTTCCCTTAACTTCCTTAGGATCATTTTTTTCTGGAGGGATAGTATAATGTAGTTGTAAGTGGGTGGGTTCTAAAATTAGAGGTTCTAGGTTTAAACCTAGCTCCATTACTCATTGGCAATATTGGACAAGTAATTTATTTTCTCAGAACTTTAGCTTACTAAGATGTAAAATGGGTGATACTAATAGTTCTTTAAAGTTAAGATAAAAAGCAATAACACATGAAACACATAAATGTTAGCTCTTATTTTTGTTAGGAAATTTCTAGATTTACAGTAATTTCCACATTACTTTCTAAAAGGACTACATAAATTTGTACTGTCATTAACAATCTGTGTGCTTATGTTAAAACATATTTTTGTTACTAATTTGATCAGTGTAACATTTTATACCTTTCTTTTGATTTGCATTTCTTTGGTCTTATACAAAGTGAGGGATCGTTTTTTCTGCCATATTGCTGCAGTTTTCCAAATTGAGTGATAGAAGTTTCATTACTTCAGTCAGTTTGAGCTGGACCAGAAGGAGTGGACATATGGGAATGGTCAGTTACACCACTCATGAATAGTGAACCAAATTTTCCAATAGACTTTTTTCAAACTAATTGTAGTTTTCTTGTATTTTCAGTCTATGGTAATATTTACTAGCTATTACTATTATTATTTTGAATCTTAAAAAAGTAGCTGTTAACTAAGATATAAACAATATTTAAGTGAAAATGCAAGCTTCCTTGAAGAGCTGATTTATGGTTAGTATTATTTTGATCACAGTTTGCTGGAATTTTACTAGGAATGCTTCTCAAAACTCGAGGAAAACTCAGAAAATTT